TTACTGTTCGATATTTACGAGAAATTCCACGTCTGTAATATAAAATGGAATGTGAATGAATAGCAAGCCAAAAGGCTGAATCTTTAATAATGAATACTTCGATCAATTCGCTGGAAATCAAAAGTTGAGAACAGGTTAAAATGTTGCAATCTACAAATCGGTCCGATTAAGACGACACGAAGGAATATGAAGTAAACCAACTACATATTACAAGACTTAAAACAATTATTTTCTTTCCAATATGAGAGAAGGAAAAAGGGATGAATAGATAGACAAATGAGTTGATGCACGAACGGATAGAAAAGCACACAGAAGCAATATACGTTCTCAATTCCTGAATGAATAGAATGAACGGTTGTGTATGCCACATTAAGCTAGATACATGTATGTAGATATATGTATATTTATCATAAGCTCGTGTTGTATAAATGTATGTCTATAGTCACTTAACTGAAGAACAGCTTAGATATCTATCAAAACTAATTTAGTCTACTACAGATATCTCCAGCTATTACCTATTTTACCTATTATCTAAGGCTAAATTAGATTATTGAAATAATCTGTTATTCCTTTCTTTAACCTCTCGAGCTGCAAAGAAAGTGTAGAAGAGATTTGTCAGATATTTACTTATATATATTGACATTTATTGATTTGGCGTTAGCAATGAACAGAAAGTCCTCAGAGTCTCAAAGTGCCCGAACAGGTGGGCACTTAGCTCATTATCTCTCATTTAATAGTTATGTCTAGAATTTCGAAGTTGATGCTTTGCACAAATTGCTCTGCAATCGCAGTGCAGCGTATAGAATTCTAGGAGTGGATGGGTGGGTGGGGGCTGCGACTTGCAGTTCCGGCTCGCAGCGCTGTCAGCGACAACGTCAGCATGTCCGAGTCCAAGCTCGGGTCCGGTAAGGGTCCGGGTGCGGGTGCGGGTGCGGGTGCGTGTCCGAGTCCAGGTGCCTGGACATTTTTATAAATAGTTAAGCGCACGCGAGCTGCGCGCGAACTCAGAGCGAAAGTAGCAAAAGGAAATCCCCAGGACAATGCAGCCAAACGAAGCGGCTTAATGTATGTGTGTGCGTGTGTGTGGGTGGGTGAGCGCAGCGCCGTCGGCGTCGTTGCTTGCGTCATGTCTGTCGAGGCGTCGCACCGTTGACAATTTGCTGCTTTCATTGCACAATTTAACAGTTGTTGTTGTTGTTCTTCTTGTTGTTGCTGCTATTGCTATTACACACCCCCATCCTCTCTTCCTCGCTCTCTGACTGCCTGTATTTCTCTCTGTTCACGGCTTGCTTGCTCACTCACTCGTACACTTGGGGAGCGCATGTTGCGGCAACAAATTGTTGCACAGTCAGCAACGACGCCAACGCAGGCGGTGACGCTGACGCTGACGCTGGCGTTTCGCTGTTTTCATTCACATTTCATATCGCGGCGAATACGTGGCGTTCTCTCTCTCTCTGACTTCACTCCCTCTCCGTCGTTTGCTTTCGCTCTCTCTTTCTCTTTATCCCCCCTGAGTCTACCTCTCTCTCTTTATCTTGCTCTCTCTTTCAGCCTACTACACATGTTTGCCGTTGTACACATTCTGTGCCCTCTGTTGCGTACGCACGTTGCACATTGTTGTTATTGTTGCCGATTCAGCTGTCTCTCTGTGTGTGTGTGTGAGTGTGTGTGTGCTATTTGTCGTATTCTTGAAGTTATTTTCCGGTTTTACAGTTCTTTTTTTGTTGCTCTCCCACTTGTCGCACGCCCCGCATGTCATATCAATGTCAATACAGTTTCGATGGCGACATTCGCTTCAGTTTTTCCGTTCGTCCTGACCGGCAGCCATGACTTGCACTCTGCGCACCTGCGCCGTGTTTTTGCGACGCATTTTCTTAACTACTGCTTCACACTGTCTTTCGCCAGCCGAAAAGCGCTCTCAATCCACTTTGCTCGCTCTCGATAGACGCACGTTTGTTATTGTTTTCGTACCATGCTCCTTACTCACCCGGTTTTTCGACAGGCTCACGCTCTCTCTCTCTCGCTCTCGCTCTTTGTTTGGCTCTCTGGCTCTCCCTACCCAACATCCACTCACGCTCTCTGAGTGTCAATAATAAACCGTTTCCTCTTGCCTTCTGCTGCCTGTTTGTGTTTAGGTTTGTTGTTGATTGCCTCACAATAAACTTCACTTGGGCTTCTACATACATGTACATATGTATGTAAGTATGTGTGTACATAAAGCGCTCTCTGCATCTGCTGCCGTCGCCGCTGCTGCTGCTGCTGCTGGCGCTGCCTCTGTTGCTCCTTCTGCTGCTGCTACTCCTTCCTGTCTTGTGCAGACAGCGCTTAAGCTTTGACGCTTGATATCTGATAATTGCGCATTGCTTTTGCCTTTGCTTTTACGTTTGCTTTTGCGTTTGCCGTTACCGTTGCTTGTGCTTCCGCTTGTGCTTGGGTTTCTCATCGACACATTGAACTTTTAGCAATTTGCCAAAAATTTGTCTCGCATCTATGGCTTCATTTTCTACATAGCCGCAAATGACTTTATTGAGTGAAAAGAAATACACAGCAGACATTTATATATTAGTGTTAGGTATGGATATTTATCGATAAATTCAATTTCACTTGATCTGCTTTGATTTGTCAGCTTTTTTCGTAAATCTACAGTTCTGTTCATGAGAATAATAGTTCTAGAGTATCCTGTAGATGCTTCCTATAGATGTACATACCTACATATCTATATCGCATCAAATTGTGTACTTTACCAATCGTTTTCGTAGCAGCCCACTGCTCAGTCTTAACTCGTCCCTTTCGAATATCTTGGTGGCCAGGTCCCATAGGACAAACCTGGCTAACATGCGTATTGGTTACTTCGAAACATCTTTGAACAACGAGATCCAGGTCTTGATTTGAAAATCCGGTTATAACGGCTCCGCTTATAGCGTCCGTACGGCTATTGCAACGAAAATTCTGCTGCCCAGACAAACCTATATGAGCAAACGTATACGGCTAAAGCGTTTTCCGGGTATAACGACGGTCCCTTGAGCATCGTTATAACCGGATTCTACTGTATATCAAATATTCCATAGAATTTCACTTTAATTACAGCCTATTCGTCGTACTTTTAATTAAACTAATATCCGTTTGGACTAAGTTGCCCCTAAGGTAGTATGCAATACGTAAAAGCAGTTATCAACGTAAAATATATATATGTACATACATACATATATACATATGTATATTGGCATTTTATTCTAACGCAGAAATGAAAATTTCAAATATCAAATGCCAATCAATGGGCATCATTACAGGTGGTAATCACCATGCAATAATGCACAGTTACGCAACGTGAAGTCCACTTTCATTACAGGCGAACAGCAGAGCTTATTTGCCACAGCTTCCGCTGCTAATCTAGGGGATTTTCATTTTGGCCAAGAGCTGTGTCCTTCGTGATGAGCACGTGATGACAAAGGGATCAAGTTGAGGCTCACATGAATTGCATAGAGTTGCTATTGTGGTTGTTGTCGTTGTTGGTGCTGTTGTTGTTGTTGTTATAGTTGTATAACATGCTGTTGCTGCTCTTTGGCTGTTATGCTTGTTGTTGTTGTCATTGTTGTTCTTCTAGTTCTTGTTGTTGCTGATGTCCAAAACACCTGTTGGTGTTACTGTCCAGCATTTTGTTACTATTCTTGTTAAAATAGTTGTCGTTGTTGTTTGACATGTTTGTAGTTGTCGGTGGGGTTGTCAAACATGTTGTCGTTGGTATTGTTGTTGCTGTTGTTGTTGCTGCTGTTGTTACTCCTGTTGTTACTGCTGTTGCTGTTGTTGCTGTTGTTGCTGTTGCTGTTGTTGCTGTTCTTGTTGTTGTTGCTGTTGTTGCTGCTGTTGTTGCTGCTGTTGCTGTTGTTGCTGCTGTTGTCATCGTCGTCGTTGTTGTTGTTGCTGTTGGTTCTGTTGTTGCTGTTGTTGTTGTTGTTGCTGCGGCTGGTGCTACTGTTGTTGCTGTTGGTTCTGTTGTTGGTACTGTTGTTGTTGCTGTTGTTCTTGCTTTTGTTGTTGTCGTTGGTATTGTTGTTGCTGTTGTTGTTGTTACTGTTGTTACTGTTGTTGTTGTTGTTGTTGTTGCTGTTGTCGCTGTTGTTGTTGCTGTTGTTGTTGCTTTTGTTGCTGTTGGTTCTGTTGTTGTTGCTGTTGTTGTTGCTGTTCTTGATTTTGATGTTGTTGTTGCTGCTGTTGTTGTTATTGTTGTTGTTGTCGTCGTCGTTGTTGTTATTGCTTTCTATGTTGTTGTTGTTGTTGCTGTTGTTGTCGTCGTCGTTGTAGTTGTTGTTGCTGCTGTTGTTGTTGTTGTTGCGGCTGCTGTGACTAGTGTTGCTGTTGTTGTTGCTGTTGCTGTTGTTCTTGCTTTTGTTGTTGCTGTTGTCGACGTCGCTGAGAGTGTTTGTGGTTTGTTGCTGTATTTAGGATAGTTTCCATTGTTGCTGAACACGTTGTTCTTGTCATCGTTGTTGGTATTGTTTATGCTAAGAGTGACGTTTTAATTTTGCCTTTTGAGCTGCTCCATCTCTTGGCTAGACTCAAGTTCCGAATGCTTCTGTCGTCCACACTTCGGTTCATAGCCTCAATGACCAGATCCTCGATGAGGACAAGAAGAAGAGCCGAAAAGAGTCCACAATATTTCTGACTAGATACACTTTCCTTGTTTTAAGGATTTCATATAATTATATAATTTTGATTAGGAAAATGGTCGTTAGTCTTTTTCATACTTCTATCTGGAGTCGTACTATCTAGATACATAAGATTATCTCAGTCAAAACTGAAATGAATTCCTCATTCCAACTACAGTAAAAAGTCTTCAAGTCAATGCAACAAAATATGTATATAATTTAAAGTAGATAAAAAAAAATTAACAATCGTTAAAAAATTAATCAACGAATCCAAATGTAAATCCATTCACAGCATTCAAATGGTAGTAGCCAACGGTCGGTGTTATCGGTCACAATAATGGGTCAATCTTTGCTTTAAGACAAGAGGAAAAGTGACTGGCCGCAGACGCACTTCCTGATCTTGCGCTCAAGGCTCTTCAGCTGTGACAGCAGGTGGATGCAAAGCTGTCCCCTGGGTGGGCATCCAACGCAGGGCCGACCGCCGGGTCCGCATGGCCTGTTTGGCCACCATGGCTTGGGACGGCATGGCGGTCTCCTTGTTGTTGTTCGCCTTGTTGTTGTGGTTGTTGTTGTGGTTGTTGTTGTGGGTGGTGTTGTGGTTGTTGTGGTAGTCGTAGTAGTCGTTGTAGTCGTAGTAGTTGTTGTTGTCGTAGTAGTAGTTGTTGTTGTTGTTGTTGTGGTTGTTGTGGTTGTTGTGGTAGTTGTTGTTGTTGTTGTGGTTGTTGTAGTTGTCGTTGTTGTGGTTGTTGTAGTTGTCGTTGTTGTTGTTGTGGTAGTAGTCGTTGTTGTTGTGGTTGTAGTTGTCGTCGTCGTTGTTGTTGTTGGTGTTGTGGTAGGTGTTGTTGTGGTTGTCGTTGTGGTTGTTGTCGTTGTTGGACACGCAGTGGTTGTTGTCCTACACGGTGGTGTTGTTGTGCACGGTGGTGGCGGCTTTGTTGGCCTACATGTTGTTGTCCTCCTTGGCGTACACGTTGTCGTTGTTGGTCGCTTGGTAGTTATGGGGCAGCCGCAGCCAGCTGAGCTGAGACTAGCGCAGCAGAGCAGCACAGTGCAAGCTGAAAGGTGAAAAAAAAAAAAGATAAAATACTGTTACTCCAAATCCTTAATGGTTAAATGATATGAATTTACCAATCAGAAAGGCAAAAATGAAATTCATATCGATGTATTTCCTAGACAACCCTCACACCGAACAGAAGTGAAAGCGGATACTGATGCCTTTACCGAGCCGTACTTCCCATTTTATAGGGCTCGTCCAGCTGCCGTTGCATTTTAATTTTAGAACAGAACAATTGCGTAAATACATGCCACTAAATTCA